TGTTCCAATTCTGATGACACCAGTAACTGTCTGATTATATATCCGTTTCGCCTTTCCTTTGAGTGTTGCGTGTCGGCCAGATCCCCTGGTAACTCCTCGCAGACCATTTTCTCAGACCGTAATGATCTATTTGTGCATCTGCGGAACCGGTTAGTCTATTTACCTGTCTGTTTCCCAACACACCGGCATAACCTGGATACAATATCCAAAGGACGCTAGTTTCCAGGGAGCTCTGAAGCGATGCTATGGTAACAAGGTAAAGTCTAGTCGGTTAACAAGACAATGATTTCGAGGTAGAGAAGCAATATGGGCGTGCCTGGTGTAACAAGGTAACATCTAGTCCAATCAACTAGCCAGGTACAGAGGCGATGTGGGTGTGTCTAGTGTAACAAGGTGTGGTCTATTCAATCAATCGGCCAATTACAGAAGCCCTTCGTGTATTTCCTTATTAGTACCAGGTCAGTTTCAGCCAATTAATTAAGACATCGTCTGGAAGCAGAAAAAAGCTGTGAAACCTTTCTGGCACTGAATACATTTAATGGAAAAAAAACTAACCTTGACTAGTTGACAGCATTCTGGATGCCACATTGACAGTATCACCAAACAGGCAATACCGTGGCATTTTTAGCCCAACGATTCCTGCCACAACTGGCCCTGCATAATTGAAATGTGGACTCATCTAAATATTTCCATGATTCATAATACTGCAACAAAATAGTCTGACCATGTTTAACAAAACTTTAAAATCAGAATTGTCAAATGTTCAGTTTTCAGTCATTATTCATTCACTGTCCTGTTGCTATAGAATGTCGTGTAGTGATTGAAGTCTTTTCCGTTCTCTCATGTGCAATCAGTTTAATATCGTGGATGAAATCCAGTCCAGCAACTTTGACTTCCTCATGACCGTTCGTCTTAAGGTTTCTCAGCTCATCCTTGATTGAACTGGACGTGACGTACGAGTTGCGGATGGAAGAAAATCACATGTACAAGATCGAGATGTACTTTGAGCTCGTGGCCGGTCTGAGGAGAAACGAAGCGTACGCAGGAAAAATCTTCGCCGAGGTAGGCGAAAGAGGTCTTATCTCCACTCCCATATAAAATGTACTTAAGTAGCTGGGCTTGCGAGGAAACGAGCGTAAAAGGTCACTAAAACAACTAGGCGAAACTGCTGAAAGAGCTTCGAGCTGGCTCTGGGTGCAACGGAACGTCGTGGGGATGGGCCTCAGTAGACTGCCCGAGTCCCAAGCGGAAAAGAGCGTCATCTCTTAAAAGCCAAAGTGTCCGATAAATGTCTGCCGGTGTCTCTCTGCCAGAGGCCAAAGTCTAGCAATTGTCCGATGAACCAACCATAAGCTTGTCGTGAAGGTAGTCAACTGATTTAATTTGCTATCGCAGCGACAATAAAACACCGAATCTTACAGCACCTGTTGAAAGTCACCATATCGTCTTGTCCCTATCGAGTCCGATGAAGTGCAGCAGGGGTAGATCTTGGCCTGGCTTCATGACCCAGATCGGCCCACCTTCCGAAATTGTTTAGAGAAGTAATGGGCCGAAACAATTGTTGACGAAGGATCTCTGCTGATAACCGGTGGACCCCTGCTGTGCGTGCTCCCTTGTGGAGTTCTTCTTACTGGGTTCCCGCCTCCTTTATTCTTTTATTCCCCTTTGTAATGCCTGTTTGGTGATTCACTGCTGATTTTTTTTTCCTAAGTGTCAAATGTAGCGCCATCCTTTCTGTCATATAACGGTTCATACTAGTGGTTGCACATACATTTCTCTTATTTCTTCACTTCTTTTGAATTCGTCCCCTTTTATTATCATCATTTTCCTCAAACATTTGTTTTGGAATGCATTTAATTTTCGTTCTGTTTTCACTTGTCCATATTACTTTTTCTTATTTTTCGTCTTCAGCATTCAGAGCCCTTGAGGTTCATAGTTGCACCCGCCACTGTTTGGTCTTCTTTTTTCAGTTGGTGACACTGAGTGTTTGTAGATCTGTCTGGATATTATCTTTCCATCGTCTTCTTGGTCTGCCGCGTGGTCTGCGACCATTATACTCCCTTGGGTATTCAGTTTTTACCTCTTCCAGCCATTTCAGTCTATTTGCCCACATTATGTCAGCTATCAATGATGATTCAAACAGATTAGGAATGTCATTGCTTCTGCCTCTTCACTCCCAGCTGTTTGCATCGTTGATGGGTCAAAAGATTCTGGTAAGACTCTATTTTCAAAAGTTTGTATCAAAGTTTCATCTCTTTTAGTTCTGCTTCAAGTTTCAGAGCCGTATAAAACGACTGGTCTTATATAGTTTTATATAGTTTGATCTTGTTGTTGCGAGATAGAGACTTTGACTTTAGCAGATGTTGAAGAGCATTGTATACTTTATTTCCGGATTGTATTCTAGATTGTATTTCTTCTCTCAGCATGTTGGAGCATTCCGAGAATATACTTCCTGAATAATTAAATTCTGTAAATCACTTCATAGATGTACCATTCAACGATTGATGTGGCAGAGTAGGAATCCCACTGACCTGCATATTTCAGTTTTAGTCGTAACTATTTTCATGTTATATTTTCTGCATGTTGAACTTAGCCTATTCAAAGGTCTTCCAGTCTACTTCCCTCAAACAGACAATATTGAGAATTCAAAATACTGATTCGTGGGGGAGTAAGCTTGGGAAGACAACATCCGTCAGTCCCTAACTGACAGAGGACTGAAATGGAACAAAGCCAGAAAGAAATCTGCTGATAGAGAAGTCTAGCGATCTCTCTGGCAAACCTCTACACCCCAAAGTAGAAGAGCCATTAAGTAAAGGGGAGAAAGCTAAGGAGCTCGACGGTTTTCAATGGTTATAACTATCACCAAGGTAGTCTCCGTGGTGTAGCGACTAGATGCCTGCCTGCGGATGGGAAGGTCGTGGGTTTAGGTCCTGGCGGAGCCGGATTTTTTGTTTAAAAAATTACCTTGACTTCCAGGTCGACCAGCCTTGAGTGGGTACCAGGTGCAAGCCCTGGGAAGCAAAGGCGACAGGTGTGATGCTGACCACATCACCCACCAAATGCCGATTGGTCTATAAAATGTAGGTCTAGCTGTATATGCAAAACAGGCCTGAAGACGTGGAAAAGGGTCCTTTTCTTTACTTTAATTAGAGCCAGTAGTATAGGGACTCTTCAATAGCTACTGAGGAAAGGGACGGAGCAGAAGTGGGGTATATTCCAGTGCATTGATGTTCCTTATTGATTGGCTTGGATTGGCTTTTTACCCCACCAGGACATCACACAAGCGATAAACACCCGATGACACAAAGTGCCACCATGCGGATGAGGATCACCGTGGAGAGGTCCCAGAAACCGCGTTCAGACATTTGGCCATAATGATGACCTGTCTATATTGCGGCCCCTGGCAGAAGCCAGAGTGGGGCTTCAAATAACAAAAAATAACGTCATAAGAAGGACGTAAGTAATAATTATATTACTTTGAACTAATTATTTTTTATCCTTATTGATTCATTCACCCATTCATTTATAATGGGCGAGAGCCACATCTTGTCTCCATTGTCTCACTAGGAAGGAGGGGCAAGGAGTCCAGTGTTGCCACTTTGGATCTTTTATATCCAAATTTAGATCTTTTTCATTGCATTTAGATACTCTTTTTGACGTTTAGATCGTAAATATTTTTCTAGAAACTTTTCATATGGAGTTAGATATTTTATAGATTTTTTTTTCTTTCATTGTCAATTTAATAATTACTGTGTAAAATATTTACTACAATATTTTGGTTTTGGTCTGGCACGTACATTGTGACAACTGCCATTACTTGAACTTTGAACTCTCACTGGGGTCAACGCACAAATATCTGGCAGCCCCGGTACTGATTAATAACCGATTCTATCGGAAGTGCAAAAAGTTAATAAACTGTTCGAATCTAAACTTGTTGATAAAGTTAAATTACTTGATGATCTCACCTTGCTATTTCACTCGGTAAAAGACTGGTGTTGCCAACTTCGAAAGCTGATTTGCTCACTTGCACTATAGAAAGCTATTTGGCTCCTAAGCCACACCTTGGATATTAAATATAATCAAAAATTGATGATTTAAAAACAAAAGGACTGTTAACAGAGAATGAAGAGAACAACTTAAGAAGACGCTGTCAAGATTTACTTATCTTATTATTGAAGCAATTGAAGCAGAGACTTCCTGAAAATCTAGATGTTTTGAAAAAATATTTCACTTTTTTCTGTGAGCAGCATACTTCAGCCAATAAAGGACATCCCTAAATATTGTAGAGTTATGAAATTTTTAGGGGCTTCTGATAATAGTGTCACGGAAGCAGAATATCAGTGAACCAAAAAAGTTAGCTGAAAGGACAAACAAAACAGAAACTAAAGCGTTTTGGAGTGAAGTGGGACAATTTAAAGATGCCTCATCAAACAGTCCATTCTGTAAGCTCTTTAAAGTGCTATATATGCCATGATACTACCCCACTCAAATGCTGACGTAGAAAGAGTTTTCAGTGCTAGGAATTATACCAAATGTAACCTAAAAAAACAGGATGAAATTTGACCTCTTAAATGGTATCGTGCCATTAAAATTCGGCCTGATGAGACTAGAGAAATAAGCCTACTGTTCCACTTATAAAGAAATTTGAACAGCTAAAGCATACCAGGGTCATTTTGGATCTGAAGCTTCAACTTCATTATCCAAGCTAAGTTTATCCTGTGGATCTTGTGAGGCAGACATCAGTGAAGGTGAGGACATGATTATGTAGGGTAAGTCATAACAAAAGCTATGTAATTTTTGACTTTTTCAATTTGGATGTTTTTTCTAGATCTTTTTCACACATATTTAGATCTTTTTAGATATTTTTTGTCAAAGAAAAGTGGCAACACTGGCAGGGACCGACCAATACCAGAATGGGTACAGGATATAAGTGACTCTTTCGATCGGAATTTCATTGCAAACCATAAGCGCCCCCGCAATGTGCTCATTTGAATAATTACCTGAACATAATCCAAACTTCAGTTTGATCTGATAATCTGGCAGATGGTCGACTTTCAGCTTTGTCGTCTGCTCCAGAAGCCCCAACGCCATGTTTGCAGCCTCAGCGACATGACGTTCGCCATTTCTCACCGGAAGACCGGAAACGACGACATATTGGTCGGCTAGTAAATAAAACAATGAAATTATAGCGTGTATCTTTAATGATTGTAAACTTTTTTTTTTTAATAATTATTTGCACAGGTTTCAATTTGTGTATTCCGTCATATTTCAAGCGCCATGTAACCGTTAGTTTAGAATATCACTGCTATATACCGGTGTTTTAGTAAGTGATCGTAGTTACATGGGTGTTAACTATTGAAGAAAGAGTATTTTTGGCTTGAGTGTGTTTTCATCAACATTGGCAGGTATTCGAATGTGATTGTTAACAAATAATTATGTGATTTCCTGACTCTGAAGTGCCTTATACTAATACTGTTAGAAATTTTACTAGTAGAATTGATTGTGATAAGAAGAAAAAAAAACCCAGAACAAAACTTCAGAAGTTTATGTTGCATTAACTCCACAGACGGTGGTTGCAAAAATAAGAACGGAAATATCTTTAAACACAAACAGTCATTAAAAATGCACCTTGCACTTTGTACTAGATTCATCGAGAAACAGCAAATGAAGACAGACAGACAGACAGACAGACAGACAGACAGACAGACAGACAGACAGACAGACAGACAGACAGACAGACAGACAGACAGACGGACGGACGGACGGACGGACGGACGGACGGACGGACGGACGGACGGACGGACGGACGGACAGACAGACAGATAGATAGATAGATAGATAGATAGATAGATAGATAGATAGATAGATAGATAGATAGATAGATAGATAGATAGATAGATAGATAGATAGATAGATAGATAGATAGATAGATAGATAGATAGATAGATAGATATATAGACGGAAGGATGGACGGACGGACTGACAGGCAGATCCACTGCATCAAGCGTCATTGCGGTTAAGGTACCTGATTGATTAAGGCTGACAGTTTGACTCAGTATACATTCGACATTTACCACCTACCCACAGTCTCCACTTTAAAGACGTCGTGCTTGACGATCTCCTCATCCATCAGGTCAAACAATCGGTTGATGAAGAAGATGATGTCCACCCCGTGGCTGCGTCGGCTCAGCTCGGCAAAATCCGCCAGACCCGAGAAGCAGACGGTGGCAGATTCGAAACTTTCTGGTTCCACGACTTTGCCTTTCAGCAGTCTGTTAAATTGAGGTAGATACACACAATCAGGAAATGGTTTGGTCACGTAATAAGACTGGCAACAAACAGGGCACCACAGAAAGCAATGTTATACAGATTCAGCGGTAACAGATCCAGAGGTCGACTACGCAGAACATCTTCTGCTTCCTCTTCTCTTCCACCTTGTACCTCATCGAAGTGTCGGGGGGGAGATGTAACATTCGTTGATGAGCTCTGTCAAAAGCACTATTAAGACTGATGTTCATTTCTGTAAGGCTGTTCTAATGCCATCACTCCATATAATCCGAGGTCTTCCACTCGCTCTATACCCGTTGTAACGTTTTAGTGGGGCTCGCTGTAGCAGATAGTACCAGGGCATTCTTGTTAGGTGTCCAAACCACTTCATTTGTTGTTCTTTGATGACCTGTAAGACTGGCTTTATTCCATGGAGCGCAAATATATCAGACACTGAAAAGTAATTATTACGTAGCGAACAAAAGGGCCCATTCCAGGGATCTTTTCCTGCCCTGTCGCCACGCGGCATTCAGAAGTAGAGGAAGAAGGTAAATGTACTTGTGTTGTTTTTGATCAGCAGCTGCACTTCATTGTACAGGTTTTGTTTTAAATCCCATATAGCTCGGACTCATCCTCTCTCTCACACACTCACACACACTCTCTCTCTCTCTCTCTCTCTCTCTCTCTCTCTCTCTCTCTCTCTCTCTCTCTCTCTCTCTCTCTCTCTCTGCCGAGGACGTTCCATACGAGTCTCAGTGAAAATTACACTCGTTAACCAAACGGCGCAGCCGAGAAAAAACCCACAACCTTCAGGGTGTGAGGCAGACGGCTTGACCACTTCGCCACAGAGGAACCCCCCCCCCCCCCCCTTCCCCCCATTCACCTATTAGCTGGCCAAGTTGCAACCTCTCCCGTTCAGCAGGTAGCAAATAAATACCCGCCATTTTGTGGAGCTAATGAGAGTTGCTTTGTTACTTAGGCATCATAAAACAAAGAGAAAACACACATTAAAAAGTGCTACTGAGATAGCTGAATTGATTTAACAAACTTGTTGGGATCAACACTTATCTCGTGCACCAGATGAAGGGTTGGATTTAGACTTAATGAAGCACTAAGCTATAAAAGGTCCTGAGGCTTCGTGCCGTTTTAAACTACACCAGATATTCTTAGAAAACTGTAAAGTATATGTGACTTTTAAATAAATGAATAACAGAAATGTATTCTATTTCAATGTTTATTTAAGGAAATGGAGTTCAGTCAGACAATAGTGACTAGATCGGGAAATGGAGTTCAGTCAGACAATAGTGACTAGATCGGGAAATCGAGGTCAGACAATGGTGACTAGATCGGGAAAGGAAGGTCAGTCAGACAATGGTGACTAGACCAGAAAACGGTGGACGGGCAGACAATGGAGCTGTTGATCGGGAAATGGAAGACAGTCAGACAATGGTGACCAGATCCGGTCAGGCAGACAATGGAGACTATTTTTCTTCTTCTTTCTTCTTTGCGTTCACCAGCTGTAAACTCTGGCAGAAGGTTCTGGTTGCTCGTCCACTTCTGGACTGCAGTCATGTTCCAGAACCCGAGTGTCGCGTGTGCATCAGTTTAACAGATCTCATTCTCTTGAATACAGACTGTTGGTTCCTTGCCTCTCCGGCAGATGCACTCCGACTTCAAAGGAAGGTCCCCAATTAGTCGACTCTTACGACATGCTTTTGGGGAGGCAGTGGGTCTATTCTTGTTTTCCCCCACAATGGGCCCCCGGAACCCACACGGGGGTGGAGACTGCTGACCTGGAGGCAAAGGAACCCCTCAATCGTGAGTAGACAATTGAAGCCATGGATTTGGAGACTACTTTTTGTCAATCGTGAGACAACTGAGAGAGGGTTCGGGAGATAGAAATCTCACCTCTGTGCCACTGTTGGTGGGTACATCTCTTTCACAAGCGTGGCATTGCGCCTCTGCTCCCGGACTAAAACCCTCAGTCTCTCCGAGAGCTTTACCGAGTACTGTTTGATGCTGAAAGATACAGACATAGGACATGAATGATATTTAGGTTAAAGGCAATTACTTGGTAGATAACTTAGCGGACAAGTAACGTAAAGATGCACTTCTTCACATTTTATTGATTGCAGCTTAAATCATGTGTGTTCAAAGGGCGCTTTATGCCGTTGACACCATTTTCCTTCCTCTAACCATCTGTGCCTTTGGAGACCGAGCCATGTTGCGACACCCTCACTTTCCAATACTCCAATTTTTGTAAGTGTGATGACCCTGCTTTAAGTGGTAGGTCACGCTCACAGAAAACCGAGCAGAAAACCCGGGCAAGAGACAATGACATTGGATACTTGAGGCAGAAAGAGATGAACGAGGACAAGTCCGAGGTTGGCCCTTGGTCAATTGCGCATCAGAGTTTGAAGAAGACAGTTGTCGTACTTGAAGATGTAGAATATAGTGCTCACAGGAAGGAATATCTGTTGAGATATTGTACTGATGGAGAAATGACTTTGAACTACAATAAAGCTGGCAGAAGTGATAAAGAACGTAGCCTGTGCTGTGCCGAAGAGTTGTTGTGTCTATTCCTTACATTAGTCTAGTGTGGACAAATTAAGAAGCATGATGCCAAACTGACTGAAATGTTGAACCCTAGACAAGCTGATACTAGCGGGCAGACGGCAAGTGGTATCCGTAACTACGGAGCGGATCCATAACAACCAGCCTGGGAAAGCAATATAGCAAAGAGCAACATTGCAATAATCTTGTCTTACCATCTAACATCAAGCGTTCTTCGTAGACATCGCATGGAAAAGCTCTTTAGCCGTTTCTCCTGGTGCAAGCAGATTGACAAAGTTTCACTACCACACAGAAGAGTGCTGATGACACATGCTGGATAAACATTGAGTTTTGTTTTAACTGTGAGCTTTCTGCTGCTCATTCTGTACACACATGTCGTCATTGTAACTGCCTCACAGAGCAAGTTGAGAAAGGTGGAGACAGGCATGCTCCGTACAGAGTGGCAAGCATCACTTCAGAGATCCCAGGTAGTTGGATATTTTCTCCAAGTCATGCCGGTCTGTCGGGAAATGAACAGGCAGATAGACTGGCCGATTCTGCACTACTTGGTGGTGAACTGATGTATGACAAGCTGGATGTTGTGAGAGCCTTTAGGGAGTGAGTGAACAGTGCCGAGGAACATCTAGATCATTACGGTCTGAGGAGAATGGCACTGCGAGGAGTTACAAGTGGATCTGGCCGACGCTCGACACTCAGGGGAAAGGCGAGGCGGATATACAATCAGACAGTTACTGGTAGCATCAGAATTTTAACTTTTTGCTTGCTGCTGAATATGGGGATGGAGCGCTTATGGGGATGTCCCGAGTGTTGTGATGTCTATTCTTAATTCAATATTCAACGTGCAGCTCCAAACTGTTTTTTTGGTACACGTATCTGCGTATTATTGTTGCTCCCTAACTGTTCTGGTGTTGATTCCTTGGTCCAGAGACACCTTCTTATTGACTGAGGATCTCAGGTATGGGAAGTGATCAACAGTCTCTAGCTCTTCACTGTCAATGACGATTGCTCATCTGTCAGAAGTACCTGTCTAACAGTGATAGCACAAAGTTGGTACGAATGGCGCATATATCAAGGACTCTGTGTGTGTGTGTGTGTGTGCGCGTGCGTGTTCGTGTGCTCGTGTGGGTGGGTGGGGCGTGCATGTTGGGGCTATCCTCCTAATAACGGGCACAAAAGATGGCGGCCAATGGCGGCGAAAAACAGGGCCTCATTCACGTGTCAAATGCGCACTTCCGGCGACTTAATTTGTTAGGATGTTTTTGCGGCCGCCATCTTTTGTGCCCGTTATTCGGAGGATAGCCCATGTTCGTATTTTGATACCTCAAAATAAAGGGAAGGGGGGCTATTTGAAAATGTATATTGATTACCTTCGGTATGCAGTGTCCGTGGCTTAGGCGTTGTGAGTCCGATTCGTAATTACCACGCACCGCGATCGAAAAAAAAAACTCCTGGCTGTGTGGATATTTATCATGGTATGGGGCGTCACAGGTCGACCCAGCCTTAAATGGGTACCAGGATGCATGTCCTGGGGCAGTAAAGACGGATGGCGTAATGCTGATCACATTACCCACCTAGTACCGAATGGTCTGTAAAAATATTGGTGCTTTTTCTATATACCCGATGCGCCTAAAGGAGTAAAATAGGATCTTAACTTTACTACTTACTTGTATCTTCAGTATTTTATTATACAGAAGTAAAAGAGAATTAGACCCAAAATAGCGTAAATAGAAATTATAAGGTCAATCTTCTTCTTTTTCAGCATTCCGAGCCCTTGAGGTTCCTTGCTGCAGATATCACCTGCCTCCATTCATCTCTCTTGTTGGCCTTCTCTTTCCAGTTGGTGACACCAAGTGTTTGCAGGTCTGTCTGCATATTATCCCTCCATCGTCGTCTTGGTCTGTCTTGTGGTCTACGACCGTTCATCTTCCTCTTTGTTTTATAAGGTCCATACAAGTTATAAATAAAACATATGAGCCGTCACTCGACGGCCTTCAAAATATTTATCTAATTGCTACTGTATTCTGCGAGGATGCGACTGGATGGCTTTTTACCCCACTAGGTCATCACACTGAGCGATAAACACCCTGTGACACAAAGCTCTACCATTCGGATGAGGATCACCTGGGGAGAGGTACTAGAAACCCCGTTCAACCGTTAGGTTAAAATAATAGTAATAATTACATGCAGTAATGGCAGTTTTAAAGATAACTTTCAGTGCTTTATTAAAATTCTACCTCAGATGACGTCATAGTCCAACATTTAAGAGGGTGGTAAGACTGGGTTTCATGGGATTCTGGTGCTTTTAAGGACCTCAAAACATCTAAAACTAGCTCTAACCCCAACCCACCTACGTCCCACGAGAGAGTACAGCCTAGGTCGCACGACTGCATGCAGCCTGTCTACCACCCCCTGAAATACTAGACTGTCCCGTGACCTGTGGATTTCTCCTGTTTGGGGTAGGATATAAATAAAGCACCCAACTTTCTTTTAAAGAGAAATGAACACACATGATTATACAATATAACCCACCTGCTAGTGAGGCGTACGGTCAGAATAACAAACACGGGGTAGACTAAAAACTCCAGGAATGTCAGAACTGAGCTGTGGGCTGTGATATCTCGCTGTACCGCTGACGATTCCTGTGTCGTTCTCATAACCTTGGCACCGAGATCATTCTGTTCGATTAATAAGTTAGAGGTCAGATCTCAGAGAGGCATATGAGTATTTTTTGTGAGCTAGCCTAAGCGGACAATTGACAGAAGGAACGAACTTTATTTAATAGGGATACTAATTGGGCACGCTGGTCCGTCTAACATTGTGACGCTTCTTTAAAAAAAAAAAAAGTAAGTTAAAGAGATTTTAGTAGTTTCCAGACGGTAATACGAGAGTCGCGGAAAGTTCTGGTTTTTCCTCCACTATTGGACTCTAGTCCTGTTCCAGAACCTGAGTGTTGCGTGCACATCTATTTTACAGGTCTGGCTGATTTGTATGCAGACCGTTGGTACCTTGCCTCTCAGGCAGATGTGCTCCCACTTACGAAGGAAGCGCCCACAGAGTCGACTCTTACGACCATCTGCCAGATTATCAGATCAGATTGAAGTTTCGATTATGTTCAGGTAATTAATCAAATGGGCACATTGCGTGGGCGCTTACGGTATGCAGTGAAATTCTGATCGAAAGAGTCACTTATATCCTGTGCCCATTCTCCAGTGGGTCTATTCTTGTTTTCTCCCACATTGGAGCTCGTCGAGACGGAAATTGAGAGGCCTATTTGCAATCAATAATAAATAGTGAAATAATGCACGTTTCTTTTGCAAAGGAAAGTGTAAGCGGCAAATATACTGTTACATATCCGCCATTAGGCCTACCCCATATTTAGACATATTTGTCTTGAGTCCATTACGGGGCTTCCCTGCCGATTGATTTGTCAGTGCACAACAAATTAACTCAGTATAAGTAAAGATCCCTTTTCACGCCTTTAGGCGTATCGGGTATATGGGAAGAGCATCCCATAGTTTTACAGGCCAATCGGCACTAGGTGGGTAATGTGGTCAGCATTACGCCCTCAGGACAGCCATACTGGTACCCATTTTAGGCTGGGTCGACCTGCGACGCCCCATACCATGATAAAAATCCACGCAGCCAGCAGTGAGTTTCGA